ATAAAATTAGAAATATCATAGCAAACACTTTGAAAACTCAAAGTGAAGAAATTCTTTTAAAATAGATGATTTACTAATTTTGAATTAATCATTCTACATCTACCACAAAATGGTATTAGTAATTTAAAATATTCCCACAAAGAAAAGGTAATTTTATAGATAAATTCTATCAAGATTTCAAAGAACAGATTTTTTTAATCTACAGATTAATCTCCCAGAGAATAAAATAGGACTAATTTTCTATATTTAGTTGGGCTAGTGTAACATCTGCTGGATCATAGAAAAAGCAAGAGAGTTCCAGAAAAACATCCATTTCTGCTTTATTGACTATGCCAAAGCCTTTGACTGTGTGGATCACAATAAGCTGTGGAAAATTCTGAAAGATATGGGAGTACCAGACCACCTGGCCTGCCTCTTGAGAAACCTGTATGCAGGTCAGGAAGTAACAGAACTGGACATGGACCAACAGACTGGTTCCAAATAGGAAAAGGAGTACGTCAAGGCTGTATATTGTCACCCTGCTTATTTAACTTATATGCAGAGTACATCATGAGAAACGCTGGGCTGGAAGAAACACAAGCTGGAATCAAGATTGCCGGGAGAAATATCAATAACCTCAGACCTCATAACCACCGTTATGGCAGAAAGTGTAGAGGAACTAAAAAACCTCTTGATGAAAGTGGAAGAGGAGAGTGAAAAAGTTGGCTTAAGGCTCAACATTCAGAAAACTAAGTTCATGGCATCTGGTCCCATCACTTCATGGGAAATAGATGGGGAAACAGTGGAAGCAGTGTCAGACTTTATTTTTTTGGACTCCAAAATCACTGCAGATGGTGATTGCAGCCATGAAATTAAAAGACGCTTACTCCTTGGAAGGAAAGTTATGACCAACCTAGATAGCATATTAAAAAGCAGAGATATAACTTTGCCAACAAAGGTCCGTCTAGTCAAGGCTATGGTTTTTCCAGTGGTCACATATGGATGTGAGGGTTGGACTGTGAAGAAAGCTGAGTGCCGAAAAATTGATGCTTTTGAACTGTGGTGTTGGAGAAGACTCTTGAGAGTCCCTTGGTCTGCAAGGAGATCCAACCAGTCCATCCTAAAGGAGATCAGTCCTGGGTGTTCATTGGAAGGACTGATGCTGAAGCTGAAACTCCAGTACTTTGGCCACTTCATGTGAAGAGTTGACTCATTGGAAAAGACCCTGATGCTGGGAGGGATTGGGGACAGGAGGAGAAGGGGGCGACAGAGGATGAGATGGCTGAATGGCATCACCGACTCGATGGGCATGAGTTTGAGTAAGCTCCGGGAGTTGGTGATGGACAGGGAGGCCTGGTGTGCTGCGATTCATGGGGTCACAAAGAGTTGGACACGACTGAGTGACTGAAGTGAACTAAACTGAACTGAACTTTGATTTTAAGCCAAAAGATTAGTACAAGGAAGGAAACAGGCCAGAATCAACTATAAATAAAAATTTAAAATAGTTTATGAAATATCACTGAATTTTTCGTCAATCTGATAGGATGTAAATTCAGCAGATACCACTTTTAATGGAGAAATATTAGAAAAATTCTCTTTAAAATCAGAATTAGAAAGAAATGTGAAAATTCTTTTTCTTTCCAGTATTGAATTTACTAGCATAAAAAGGCAAGAAAAAGAAAAACAGGCTTTAGGACTGGAAAGAAAGATTGTCTCCATAGGAAAATACTAACTAAACCATTAAAAATAAAGTGAAATGTGAAGTTGCTCAGTCGTGTCCGACTCTTTGCGACCCCATGGATTGTAGCCTACCAGGTTCCACCATCCATGGGATTTTCCAGGCAAGAATACTGGCATTGGTTGCCATTAAAAAATAAGGGGAGAGGGATATCCCAGGTGGCTCAGTGGTAAAGAATCTGCCCACCCATGCAGATGTGTGTTGGACCCATGGGTTGGGAATATTCCCTGGAGGAGGAAATGGCAACCTACTCCAGTATTCTTGCTGGAAAAACCCCATGGACAGAGGAGCCTGGTGGTCTACAGTCCATGTGGTCACAGAGTCAGACGTGACTTAGCCACTGAGCATGTACGCATGGTTAGTGCCCTACGACTACAAGGAAAAAAGAGACTTTAACAAGTTGGCTGATTAACATTATTTTACAATAAAACTGAATTTCTGTTTATGAGCAATTAGGTTAGAAAACATCATTTTAACAGTATTTCTAAAATCAATAGAAATGATAAGATACAAAGGATAAATCCAACAAATAATGAAAATCTGAGTGACCAAAATTTAAAAATTTCAGATAGATCCTAAAGAAAACTTGAAGGAAGAGAATGCCATATTCATGGCTTATAAAACAATGCTGTAAAATGATGGTGGTTGTTTTGATTTAATGTATTTATCAAGTCAAAATCCCAATAGAATGTTTTTTGTGCAGTTTGATAACCTGACTCTGAAATTTAAATGGAAGAGCAAAGAGTGAAGGAGAAAGATCAAAGATATGAACAATTAGGTGAATTATTTGCATTTCAATATGTAACATTGTAATAACAAAGACAGTGAGTTATTGGTTTATAGATAATCAGCTTGTACAATGAAAACAAGTAGAGCACCAAACAAGTCCTAGCAGATAGAATGCATTTATTTATAACAAAGAAGTAACATTGCAGATCATTGTGGAAAGAGCATGATTAAATAAACAATGCTGAGATACATGTTATCCATATTGAAAAAGTGAATTTGCATCCATATCTCCTGTCATTCACAAACTCATTTCAAGATGGACAAGGATATAAATGCACAAAGCAACATTTTTAATCTTTCATAAGGAAATAAGAGTATCTCTGTTCTTGTATATAAGCTCAGGAAATTTCTTAAAGGAGACCCTGAAAACAGTTTTAAAAGAAAAGATTGATATATTCAGTGCCATTAAACTTAAGTACTTGAATTCATCAAAATATGAAAAGATAAGATACGCATAGAGAGAACATAACTGCAATATATTTAACCTCTATTGGACTAATATCAAAACAAATCAAGACTTCCTTCAGGAAAGTAATCAAGAGTTGAAAGGAAGGAGCATTTATAAGCCACATGTATGCCCTACCTCCTACTCCAACCCCTACCATCTCACACACACAGGAAAGCACATAAAGGCTAATAGAATGAGCTTGACCTTTTGTTGGTGTCATTCTTATCTTACATTAGAGGCCGCTCTGACCCTTGACCAAGACAAAAATCATGTAATCTTTATGCTCTATGCTGAACCAGTAGCATTAAAATAGTCATTGCTTTTTCCTTAATCATTTACAAGGTGAAATCTTATTGCCAGCTGAGCAATTCTTAACTCTGTCCTCCATAGCCTCATCTGTGTTCTTTTTCCTTTCTTATAAGTTTATTTACAATGTATGTCCTAATTTTATAGATCCTTTTGTGATCATTCTGTTGAGATGTTTTCAGATACCTGTGGTTTCCATTTTAACCAGTGCTATAAGAACCTCTGGAGAAGGACATGGCAACCCATTCCAGTTTTCTTGCCTGGGAAGTCCCGTGGGAAGAGGAGCCTAGCAGGCTACAGTACATGGGGTCGCGAAAGAGTCGGACATGACTTAGCGACAAAGCAACAATAAGAGCCTCAGATTCATTTGGGTCTAAAACCTTATGACATATGGATTTGGAAGGAAAATAGTGGTGAATTAATTCAGTGGGACCACATGACCAAAAAAGATAGGCATCTTCTACCTAACCATTAAAAGGAGAAAAACAAGAACTGCAGTTCCTGTCAAAAAAAAAAAAAGACTCTTCCCAAGAGGGCAGGGATTACAACAAACAAGCAAAATATAGAGAGAATGTATTTCTAGGGGGCGGTTTTAGATGTTGGAAGACATTCCTTGAAAGCAATTGTGTCAGTGACTGAACATTTTAATTATTGCTATTTTACACAACATGAGCTTTCAGTGTTTTATAAACATTACAGGAAAGCATTTATTTTCTGATAAGAGTTTCATCTATGTAATGAGTAATGTGTTGTGTAAGTAGACAGACAAAACAAGTCCTCTTGAAATAGAAACACTGTCTTCATTTATCATTAAATATTTTCTGATACCAAGGAAGGAAGAAGTGCTTTAGTAAAAAGATTCTCTTATGTATGGTGTACCTATTCCTCAGACACATGTAGGAGGAAAGATTACGAAATTATTATGTGTTTATTGGTATATGTAATATATGTCATAGTTAAGTGTGAGGGCAGTCTGCTTTAGCATTTAGCCAATCAAGCTCTACTTAATTCAGTTTAATGTGATTTTTGCCATAGCATGATTCACTTTTAAAGTTTTGTTAGAGATTTGTAAGGAAAGCACAAACAAGACTATTGATTTATGATAATTATCATTATTCTGTCTTAGGTTGTTTCTTAGAAAACATAACACAGTTCACAATGCATAAGTTAGTTTGTAGATGATTTATTTCTCATATCTTTTTTAAAGCAACAGAGAACTAAAGTAATAGTAAGGAAGGATGTTTAAGATGTCTTAAGTTATTATTTCTCTCCATAAATGTAAAAAATAAAGAATTTTGTATATTTAATTCATTAGTCATAAATATTATAAAAAGACACATGAATGTCTTTGAATATAACATTGTTTGTATTTTGAAATTTACCTAGATTTAAGTGCATTTGTCTAAAAGCATCTAAAACTGATTGAGCTATTTTTGACTTGGCTTTTTTTCAATAGATTTTATCAATTAGCATCAAATCACTAACATATTATTTACTGTTTAATAGTATTTCAAGCTTTAATCCTTTTAGGAACTTTATTTTACACATTTAAAAATAATACCCTCGCATAATGAAATACACGTGAAAATGAATGTTTGTGTGTTTATGATGACTTTTCTTCTTGTTTTTTATTCTCAAGTGTTCCCCTCAAAATCCTTTCATTTGCTTTTTAGGTTGGTGAGGATTTTTCTTTTCCTTAAATAATCAGCAATTTTAATTATTGCAATTTTTTCTTCATAGGATCAAAGAGAATAAGTGATAGTGAGGTCTCTGATTATGACTGTGATGATGGAATTGGTGTAGTATCAGGTAAGAATTTTATAGAAATAAGAAGGAAGTATAATAATTATTTACCAGTGAACATGTAAATATATAGATAAATATAATGAGTTACAAAGGACTACCCTGTTTATCCCCCACCACCAAAACAACCTTATGGCAGTTTAAACTGAATGGTTCCAGTTGCTGGAATGCCTGTATGGATTGTTAGATTGAATATTCTTGCTGAAAGATGTCTCATAAGTACTTACCAATATTCTATTTTTAAATTACTAAATAATGTGGATTTCATTATAAGTTTGAGAAGTTACTGTATAACTAACACTTCTTTATATTTCACTCACAGTGTGGAAAAAATCTTTTTACTATCACAAACAGCCACATGTATCAAATATTTGAATGCACTTTTAAAAAAGTTTGTTCATTGTTATTACATTAAGTATCAGGTACAGCTGCATTTTGAAATTGTGATATTGTAGTTTTAAAATACTGCCTCACTTATAGCTAGAAATTTGTCTGATGATTTAATAATTTAGCTAAATAGCTATTTTTAATACATTTTTGAAATGTTTTTACATATAATATACTCTATTATAAAATGTTTGATTCTCTTCTGCTTGAAGTTTAATTAGCTTAGCAAATTTCATAAGCATATCTGATTTTATCATGAACAAAAATTTATGTTCTGTTGTACGTAAACATGCTACAGTGGCATCCATGACTGGTAATTTTTGTTGGGCAAATTTTGATAAAGTGTGAGTCAGTTTGCTTGCTATCAGTTTACTACATTTAAAAAAATCAATACTATCCTTTTAGCCTTTATTTTTTGCACTAAGGTGAATAATATATTAATTCACCAGGACTGCAAAAATATTTTTCATGTTTTATCATTTTTCAATTAAATCTTAATAAAGTCATATTTCTCATCATAACTTGCTTGGAGATTGTTAGCATTTTCCCCTACCTGTATTCTGTTATTTTATTAATTGACTTTTCAACTTCTTCTCTTTATTAAATATCTAGCCCCATCAGATTTTTTTACCCAAAATATTCTTCTTCAGGTCATTAAAGCTCTTTGTCTTGATGTCATTTGGGGCATATCTCAGTTCTTTTATTTTCTACTTCCAGGATGACAAAATAATGATCATGTAATTTTTTTCCATTTTATTAAAGAATGTATCTTTTGAAAAAAAAATTTTCAGGAATCATTCATTATTTGGGTAATCTTTGCTATTGCAGAATATTATTTCTCAAGCCTACACAATACAAAGTGTTTATCCTGGGCTTATTATTGTTTAACCACCATAAAACATCATTATTTCTCAGTAGTATTAATTTTTTTGCTATATGATGATTCACTCAATAATCCATTGAAGAAAAATATACTGCTGTGTAATATCCTCTGTGTTGCTATTTTGAAATCAAGTGTAATTTTTGAGATAACTTCAAATACTTGGAATTAAAGTTTAAATATTTACTTCAAATGTTATTCAGAATGCTTTCTAATATTGTTTATTTCTTAAAGAAATATCTATATAGACTATAGACATTGGGCTTCCCAGGTTGCTCAGTGGGTAAAGAACCAACTTGCCAATGCAGGAGACAGGAGACTCAGGTTTGATCCCTGTTTTGGGAAGATCACCTGGAGGAAGGCATGGCAACCCACTCCAGTATTCTTGCCTGAAGGTAAAAGTTAGTCACACAGTCATGTCCGACTCTTTGCAGTCCCATGGACTATAGCCTGCCTGGCTCCTCTGTCCATGGAATTCTCCAGACAAGAATACTGGAGTGGGTTGCCATTTCCTTCTCCAGGGTATCTTCCTGAACCAGGGATCGAACCTGGGTCTCCTACATTACAGGCAGATTCTTTATCAACTGAGCCAACTTTACCATTCTTGCCTGGAAAATCCCATAGACAGAGGAGCCTGGCAGGCTACAGTACGTGGGGTTGCAAAGAGTTGGACACAACTTAAGCAACTGAACATGCATGCACTATAGAAAGTAGGAACTTTTTGTCAGGTTAATTATTCTAAATATTTATAGTTGTTGAGAACTATTTGAAGCTCTTTTGGTCAATGAAGAGATGAAAATGTCTTTAGAATAAGCTTAATTCTTTTATTGAAGATTACTAGCTGTGTAAAAAAGTGAACATAGTAGCTGTCTAAATATTTGAATATTTGTCATTCCTTCTCAGTTTAAGTGTTTATAAAATATTATTTTATGTTAGCATTGTGCTTTATTCATTATGCTTTACATTTACTATATTTAAAGCCTTTCACTAACATTTTATATTTTTCAGTAAATTACAAAATACTAAAAATCTTAGTGTGTGGGTAACTCTAATCTTAATATTTCCACCTTTAGATTATCGACACAATGGTCGAGATCTTCAAAGCTCAACATTGTCAGTGCCAGAACAAGTAATGTCATCAAGCCACTGTTCACCATCAGGGTCTCCGCACCGAGTAGATGTTATAGGGAGGACTAGGTCTTGGTCACCCAGTGTCCCGCCTCCACAGAGGTAAGACAGCATAACCTTCTAGGATGATATTATAAGCCTGTTTATCTTAAAATATTATTAGAAACTTTAAAAAATAGGTTCTTATACAAAAGTTATTTAGGGAAAAACATATGTGCTAGTCAGTAGTCTATATAATGAGTAATATGAAATATGGGCTACTTTGTAATTTTGGATGACCCAAATATGATTTTATTATAAGCTCATAGTCATAAAGAAGATGCAAATTCCAGTCTCATATATATATTGAGCAGATCTAGTTAGACTCAATTAATTGTACTCATGAATGATATTGACATTTTAAGAAATAAGAAAGAATAAACATTTGTTGGAGCAATACAGTTAAGAACAATCATGAGAAGACTAAAAGGAAATGCATAAGCAGTGGGAAGAATTGCTTGGAAATCTGCAATTCCAGGTCTTACCTGGAATAAGAACCTTGGAAATAATATTTCCGAATCAATCCAGTTAAATTATAGAAAGGCTTACTGAAGTAAGAACCAAGGAAATAATGTTTCCGAACAGGAAATATGTGCATAATTTCACATTTTATATACTTGTAATGTTTAAGGCAATTTGAACCCTTAGAACACTTATTTTAAATGAGTTATTGAGTTAGTTTTAGACATTTAGACTTAGAATTTTAGGTTGTCATCTTAATTTTATACATTGCATTAGACTGTCTAAGAGAACAAAATTTATTATATTTATAAATTTAACTTATTTAATTATGATATTAAGTATTTAAATGTTTATTTAGACAATTAATTAAAGAGAAAATATATTAAATTTATAAACATAGTTTAAAACATTTTAAGATTTAGGTAAGTTTGTAAATGGGACTAAAATTATTAAAAGTAATCTGAAAAGTAACTGTTGAAATGTGGTAGACCTATCAGAATAATAAGACTTGTAATCTGAAATTTAAAGTGCAAGAGAAAATAAGATTTTAAATTTGTAGTTTTAGTAAATTAAGCCCTCCCTCATAAAAAAAAAGAATTCTTGACTTATCAAAGAATGAATATTTGAACACACCAGTAGAAAATAAGCATGGATTTTAAATTAGATTGACCTGCACTTAACAGAAAGCCTATAGTAGCAGGAGCTTGTGTAAAAGGTTTATTCCATCATGAGAAAGAATGTGCTTAGTCACTCAGTCATGTCCAACTCTTGGGACCCCATAGACTGTAGTCTGCCAGGCTCCTCTGTCCATGGGATACTCTAGGCAAGAATACTGGAGTGGGTTGCCATTCCCTCCTCCAGGGGATCTTCCCAACCCAGGAGTCGAACCCAGGTCTCCTGCATTGCAGGCAGACTCTTTACTGACTGAACTATGAGGGAAGCCCATATGATTAGTAAACAACCCAGACCAAGAATGGTAGCTTAAAAAAATAGTCATTGATTGGTTATAAAAACATCAGTTTAGATTAAAAAAATGAACAATTATTATCCCTAAAGTAAGATGGCCAGTAAGCCATCTATAAGCAACATGGTCTAAAGCAGCATGCTGAACTCGTTTTCTTCACACAAATCTATACTTCCTCCTGTGTTTCATATTTTATTATCACTACTATACACCTGGGCTGCTGCTGCTGCTGCCAAGTCGCTTCAGTCGTGTCCGACTCTGTGCGACCCCATAGACGGCAGCCCACCAGGCTCCTCCATCCATGGGATTTTCCAGGCAAGAGTACTGGAGTGAGTTGCCATTGCCTTCTCTGATACACCTGGGAGCCAACCATTAATAGTTTTCATAATCCTTGTCTTCATTCCCATTGACATTCCTTAATTTTATGTCGCACCTCTGATATGGCTTCCTGTGTGGCACCAGTGGGTACCTGCCTACCAGTGTGGGAGACAGGAGAGATAAGAGATCCGGCTTCCATCCCTGGCTCTGAAAGATCCCCTCGAGGAAGAAATGGCAACCCATTCCAGTATTTTTGCTTGGAAAATCCCACGGACAGAGGAACCTGGAGGGCTATAGTCCATGGGGTCACAAAGAGCTGGAAAGGACTGAAGCCATTTAGCAGGCACACACCTCTGTTACAGCAGCAATCTCCTAACTTTATTGTCAATCTCCAGGTGAAATGTATACATTTAATCAGAAGTGCAATTAGTTAAAACAAAGCAAAAATCTTGAGGTTGACATTGCAGTGATCTTTTGTCTTTTCCTGCTGTTTTTATTAAAAAAATTTTATTTTTTAGTATAATATATGATTATGGTTTATTAAGATATTTAATGGATCTTGCTGTTTCAGTCGAAATGTGGAACAGGTACTTCGAGGGACACGCTCTGCTGCAGGACATTATAATACAATTAGCCGAATGGACAGACATCGTGTTGTGGATGACCATTATTCTCCAGATAGAGACAGGTAAATTTAATCAAATACTGTGAGACCATATTCAAACTGCTGCCTACAGGAAGAAAGATTACCATAAAATGTTTTCATCCTGAACTTGGGTATTTCTTATCTTAGTTTTTGAAACCATGTGCTTCGCTTACAATATCTACATTCTTATGACTGTCACATCATTTAAAAAAATTAAAGAAACAAAAAACAACCTTTTGTTTGCTAAGAAAAACAATTCATTTTGCTCTTGCAGTTTTGGTACTTTGTTAAATCAAGCCAGTTAAGTTAGTGAACTTGCACATGAAATTATAATGATAACCATAAGGAAAACAGGATGTTTTATTATTTTTATTTTATCATAACCAGTTATTATATTGAAAAATACTTTCATGAGACAGTAGATTTAAAGTCTTTTACGTTCATCTGGTAAATCAATATGACTTTTTAGTCATGTTGAAACAAGTCTGGTTTGTTTAAACAGACAGAAAAACTGATTCATGAAGAGGTTTTTCCTCATGGCTTTCAGTAAACCTTTTAAACAGCTTAAAGAATTATACTTCTTGACTGCTGTGCTTGGAAGACTTCTCTATTAAATGTGATATACTTAGGCATGTTTCAGTACGTATGTTAATTACTACTAATTTTTTTAACAAGCTAATTGATTAATCCTCTAGTATATGGTTTGATTATATATGAAATGAAAAATGCTATGGTATTTCCCAAAAACTACCAAGTGGGTTTAAGATAAGGATTAGAATAGAAAGCTTAATTTACTGTTCAGAGAATATTCTGATGAAATAACAAGGGAACTCACAAGTCTCTTTATATGCATCCTAAACTAATTTTAGTAAAAACACTGGGGGGAAGGGTGGAGATTCAATCAATTGATATGAAATATTTTTGTCAATACTTATACATTTAATTGTTTTGTCTAAATCTAGTCTAAATCTAACTGAGTTCATGCTTATAGCATTGTGTTGGAGTACACTTTTCCAAAAGAAATACAGGGAGTATCTTAGTCTTCAATAGTGTCAGTTAACTATTGGCTTTTGTGTCTGAGATCTAAGAAGAAATAGGAAGTGAATAAATTAATATCTTAGTGTCAAATGAAAGTTAGTGTAGTGTTTTATTTATTTTTAATTTATTTGACTTTTTCATAGGGGTTTGTGTCTTTAAAGTAATTATAGGTATGTTACCTACAGATATGGATACTTATCAAGTACAATAATAGTGAAAGGTAACTATATTAGAATGATTAGGAACGCATCATATTAGGGTGGATGAATGAGTTTTTCATTACCTAGTAGAATTTTTTAAAATTGATAATTTCTTGAAATTTTTCAGGTAGTGACTCATAAACTCCTTGTTCATTGAAGGCGTGTTAAGCAGATGATGAGAGAGGAAAATCTGAAATGACTTTAAATCCTCCAAGTTTATGTAAAATGAGCTAGATATGTTCTCTGAAGGCAATGTGGTCTGGTCTAAATCTTGCAGGGAAGAACAGAATAAAATTGACCTCCAGAATTATAAATAAAAATAGTCACTGTCATGATAAGCACATAATATTTATTGACATTTTGAGACAAAGAGCCCTAAGATTAATGACCTAAAAAGTGCTATTCAATCCCTGGTAATAGTTAATATTTGAATTAGTCATAATTGAAATGTCATATTTTTTGTTTACTTTATAACATTATGAATCTTTTAATTTAGCAAAAAAATTCAAGTAATTCAGAGATTTTGTGGGGAAATTGATCCACGTGATTTCATTACTGTTTTAGTCTTGTACATCATCAAATCATAATTGCTTTTCATTGTGAGCTGTTTTAAATCCTTTTAGAAATAAATAAAATAGAATTTCATTTAAATAGGCCTATAAAACCATTTCTATATTAATTTTGAGTATTTTTGCAATCATTATTCATTACATGAGGAATAAAAAATAAAAAGCACAGTATTATCCATGTAAATAGTCTATCACATTATTAAACAATGGGTTCTTAATTTCCGTTTTATCCTAATATTCTAAAAGATTTTAAATAATAGAATCTATATGAAGGCATGAAGGCACTGTTATTTTTATGTACTATTTATAATAGATGGTAAGAATACTCTAATCCTCCTATAGTGAATTTTCATGAACTGTATTTTATAGTCGATAAATAATACTGTTGATTTAAAAGCCTAAAAAAGAATTTCCTTTGAGATGATAAATAAAATTTAGTTATTTTTAGTAGTGCATTAATCTTGCTTGTCAGTAAGAGTTGACACGCTGGACTAGAATATTTCATGAAATGTATTCTTTTTCATGGGATTTGGAACCAAATGGCAATTGGGCTTGAATTTAGATTTTTTAACAACTGATCGCTGTGTATCTTTGATTTGATTACCTTATCTATAAAATTAGAATATTAATACCAACTTTATAGAGTTGTTGGATAGATTAAGTGGAACAGTGCCACCAATTGAATGGTATGTACTCAAAAAAAGTACCTCTTAACATTTTAAAAGGATCTTTTAGCTTATAAATAATTTACATTTTAATGTGCTCATCAATTAAGCAGAGAAAAGAGAAGTCAGTCAATTCACTTGTTTTTTTTGAAGTGGCTTGTAGAGGATGTAGGATATGTGTTGGACCTTGAAAAATGAGCATGTTTATTTAGGCAACAACAAAAGATACAGAGGCAGAATATACATATACTTTCAGAAAGACCCAGTAAGAAGGATGAAGGACTAGGGGACATAATAGAAAATTGTGAATAAAGATAATAGCTTAAAAAAATGATAATGGCTTTTATATCAGTCATGTTCAGTGATAAATGATACAACCCCATGGACTGTGGCTTGCCAGGCTCCTCTGTCCATGAGATTCTCCAGGCTAGAATGTGGTATTTGTAGCCATTCCCTTCTCCATGGGATATTCCTGACCCAAGGATCGAACCCCAGTCTCCCACATTGTGGGTGGATTCTTTGTTCTCTGAGCCACCAGGGAAACCCCAATAAATGATACTATATGACATTAATTTATAATACCAGGTTAGGCTTCCCAGGTGGTGCTAGTAGTAGAGAACCCGCCTGCCAATGCAGGAGACATAAGAGACACGTTCGATCCCTGCATTAGGAAGATCCCCTGAAGGAGGAAATGGCAACCCACTCCAGTATGCTTGCCTGGAGAACCCCATGGACAGGGGGGCCTGGTGGACTACAGTCCCTAGCGTCACAGAGTCAGACACGACTGAAGCAACTTAAGCATGCACACACACACTTGTTTAAACTTCAGTGGTGTAAGAAAGAGATATCCTTTTCTTACAGATAATATAAGAAGAATTATAGATAGAATTTTGATTGGATCTTTATTTCTCTGCACACCATATTCCTTTCTCTTTTGAAAAGAAAGAAGGTTTATTACAAGTAATTCAGAAACTTCTATACAGTGATATTAAATAAAAATGATTAATGTAATAGTCATCTTCTCTTCATTCCTCCTACCTTTTTGTATCATTATTTCTCTGGTAAATCCTGGTAACTACTACAACTAGGAACATCATTTTCTGGAGCAAACTATGTGACTTTAGTACTAGAAATCATTTCAAGAGCTTATTTTTTATAGGAGTTAATTTACTACTAGAATAAGTATAGAGTACTAGATGCTATTTCTATAATATATCATAGATATTTTATAGTACACATTTTTTATGTCTATTGTAGAGACTGAAATGTATTGGTTGCATTTAATTCCATAGAGTGTACTTTCAGGATAATAAGAAATAAAATAATACTAGCAGAAGATATATTACTTCATAAACTTTTTTCTTCTCTTCATTCAATTAATTCATTTATATTTGATAATATTTTATAGAATAGGGCATATTTGCCCTATTATATGAATTTCTGAAATGCTTCAAACACATGCTGTTTCTCTATTCTTTAACAGGCTGTCAGCTACCAGAAATTACCAAACCATTTCAGTTATCAGCTATGAGAGAAATACATCTCTGAAAGTTTGAAAACATAGAGAAAGTAAATGAAAAAGAAAAGTCATCCTATAAATTAATGCAACTTTTTATTTATTATATTTCAGGATTATATTTTTACTTTTTAAATCATGGTTTATTTTAGGAACTATAAAGTATCAAAACAGTAACAATGTCAAAGACAGAGTGGAAAGTTTGGTATTAATTTCAGATTGTTGGCAATTTAGCTTTCAAAATCTGCAGATTACTTTAGAGTGAGATTTTTATCTCCTCTTTTTTACAGTCCTTTTTGTGTATCTGGTAGTTCCTAAAAGGGAACATGGGTTGGTATACTGTATTGGTGTTTTTCTTTCTGGATAGTTGCAAAGCATCGGGCATGACTGAGTGACCGAACTGAACTGAACTGAACTGAAAAGGGAACATTCAGGCTAATGAAATACAATGGAAGGATAATTCATTATAAATATAATTTTGTTTTATCTTCAAAAATTAAATTTCTTAGTAAGAATCTAAGTGTGTCAGGAAATTAGATCAGTAATCTTTTTTAGTTCTTTGAATAGTCAAATGTTTTATCAGGATTTGAGAATCTGTAAGTTGCTTTTTTAATCGTTTTTTAAAATTTAGTCACATTTTATGACAGTGGATTAATTTCCAAAATATACAAGCAGCTCATACAACTTAATACCAGAAAAACAAAAAACCCAATCAAAAAGTGGGCAAAAGACCTAAACAGACATTTCTCCAAAGATGACAAACAGATAGCTAGTAAACACATGAAAAGATGCTCAACATCACTCATTACTAGAGAAACGCAAATCAAAACTACAATGAGAGTTCACCTCACACCAGTCAGAATGGCCATCATCAAAAAAATCTACAAACAATAAATGCTGGAGAGAGTGTGGAGAAAAGGGAACATTCTTGCACTGTTGAGGGGTAATGTAAATTGATGCAGCCACTATGGAAGACAGTATGGAGATTCCTTAAAAAACAAGGAATAAAACCAATGCAATTGCTGCATTGACCCAGCAATCCCACTCCTAGGCA